GCTCTTTTCTGTCACGTCAGAGATCACAGCCATCCTATAGACTGGTCTTCTGCTAAAACTGTCTTCCCTACTTCCAACTTTAACAGTCGCCGTCTTGTTTAATCCTCTCTAAAACACAACTTTCCTTGTATGAATCTTAGTCCTGGCTTCTGTAGATGCCTTCCTCTCCCACTACATTGTAAAATGCTCCAAACTTCAGAACACCCGTGACTTAATCTGATTCCTCATTTTTTCTTCTTCTCCCTCTTCCCCTTTCCTATTTTTTTTTTTTTGTCTTTCTTCCGTCGCGTATTTCTGTTCCTTCATTATTTATTTCATCACTTCCCCTTCCCCCACCTCTGTGCACTTGCTCTCCCTCTGTGGGCACCTAGCTCCCATGCAGTGCTCCCCTTTCTTTATATTTGACTGGCTCCTCCTCCTTAATTCCCCACTACTACTACCACTACTACTACTACTACTACTACTACTACTACTACTACTACTACTACTAATACTACTACTACTACAACCACTACTACTACTACCACCACTACTACTACCACTACTACTACTACCACTACTACTACCACTACTACTACTACTACCACTACTACCACCACTACTACTACCACCACTACTACTACTACCACTACTACTACCACTACTACTACCACCACCACCACTACCTCTTCCTGCCTATATATTGCTGTCCTGCTCCACTTCTGGTTAGTGTGACTTTGTAAATGGTCCAAGTCGGACCGAAACGTCGTCGTAAGCTCCTCTCTTCTATGTGCGGGTTATTTGTGTATAGATATATGTTAAACTATATTCTTTAAAAAATGTATTTTTTTGTGAATATTTTTGTGGGTCTGGAATGGCTTAATTGTATTTACATTATTTCTTATGGGAAATATTAATTCAACTTTCGGCTGTTTCGAGTTTAGGCCTAGCTCCTGGAACGGATTAAGGCTGAAACTCGGGGTTCCACTGTATTCCAAGACAATAGTAAATGACCAAGGCAGGTGTAAATGTGCACCTGTCAGTGTGTTTGTGACAATTCGAGTACAATTTCAGTACCTAACATTAGTGTCAGAACAAAGATTGGTTATGAAATGACAAGAACTACTATAAATTGTAATTATCAGAACATAAAAATTATTAAAAATATATAAAAATGAGAAAAAAGGGTATATAGACAACACTTCTGCAAGTGGCAGGACTCAATGTTGCCGTTGGGTGAGCATCCAGTGCCAACTTCTCAGCCTCATATCTCGGTAAGTACTGACCCTAAATTTTTTTTTTTATCCTATAACACTTAGAACATACATATACTCTGGACCGTTTATGGGTTAAGGCCATAGGCTCTCTTTCGTCTAATACAGTAGGGCCCCACTTTATGGCATTCCGCTAATATGGACATTTCAAATTATGACCAAAACTATCTATACGGCTTCCCCACCTGATTTTGTAATATGGTCACAGTAGGCCAGATGGTTTAACATTCTCTGTGAGCATAATTCTCCATTATATCTGGAAACTTCCAAAATTTCAAGTATTTTAAAGTTATTTCATATTTTATATATACTACAGTGATATCTTGACTTATGAGTGCCCCAACTTATGAGTTTTCCGAGTTACAAGACGTCGCTCGGTCGATTTTTTGCTTTGAGTTGCGAGTCAAAATCCGAGTTACGAGCAAGCTTCAGATATGCCGCCACTTGCAGGAGAGAGGAAATATTAAAAACTTCGATAATAACCAATGTGTAACATCCTTTCAATTCTGACAGCACTGGTAGTGTCATCCTGCCAGAATGTTCTATAACATATGCCCTAAATAAAGAGAAACAATTCTGGAACGTGTAATACGTACATGTTCAGCAGGCTGCCTGGTTGGGTGGTTGGCCAGCTGGCTGGCTGATTTGCTATGGCTGTCTCTATCTCCTTCTGTCTGTCTCTGTCTATCTCTGTCTCTACCGCACAGGTACACATAAATACAGTTATACATAGTGTAAATTGCCTAGGATAACCCAAAAAACCAGACAAAGTGCTATACTATGTTTGTAGATAGAAGGCATAATAAGCATGACTGGCAAGTAATACACATTTTCACTTGTTCAGGTATCAGACGTGACTGACTCTGCATCGTGAGTAACACCTGTTGGCTCATGAGCGGCTCTCTCTCTGAGACAGAGAGACAGGAAGACAAACACAGGCAGACAGACAGATAAACAGAGACAGAGATAAACACAGAGCTAGACAGACATATAGAAACAAATAAGACAGAAACAAACAGATAGACAGACATGTTTATTCCTAACAGTGAAAAATAAATCTAAGGCAGTGCACAATCATCAAATGTCACTCCATGAGTGACACTCCACTGGTAGTGGAGTGACAGACAGACAGAAACAAACAGAAAAGATAGATAGATAAGATAAAGTTTATTTCTTTGTAAAGGTTACAATGTGTAATTACAATTTTGATTTGCTAAGTACAAAGACAGCCACTATCATGCCGGGGCATTTTGGGCAGACTAATCCTAATACACAGTAGCTAATTAAAACTAGACAAGATAATAAGAACATAGTAACTATACTTAAAGCTAGACAAGAAGTAGTGGTTAACTGTTTACAAACTTATTTAAACTTAATACAAATGTGAGGAAGTAAGGTGGAGTAAGGTTCTGTAAAATAATCTTGAAATTGCACACAAAATCTATATTACAAGTAATGGTTCAGGTGGTAATATTTTATGAATTGGCAGAATTAAAAGCCTAGAGGTCACAAAATAAAACTAATTAGCAGATGTTTTGGTTGATCTGGTTAATATTGAGAGATAAGATGACTTTTTAGCAAAGTCCTAAATTTAAAAATTGTCAGGGGATCCTTGACCTGTTCCAGTAGCGAGTTCCAGAGCTTTGGGCCCTTTTATGTGTATAGTGTTCTTGCATAGCGAGAGACTGACTCAAGGGATGTTGAAAAGTGACTTATGCCTTGTATTGTGACTGTGCATTCTATTGTAACTGTCAAAGAGTAGCTTTAGTGGAGGGTTTACAGTGGAGTTTAATGTTCTGTATATGTAGTAGGCATAATAATATGAGTGTATGTCTTGTATATTTAGCAAGCTCAGTCTTTTGAAAAGTGGTGGGGTGTGCTGTCTAGCACAGGAGCTGGTTATCACCTGCACAACAGCTTTTTGTTGGGTTATTAAGGGTCTAAGGTAGTTGGCTGTGGTTGAGCCCAGGCACAAATACCATAGGTGAGGTAAGGATATATTAGAGAGTGGTAAGGAGTGTCGTTTGTGGTACATAGTATTGTGTCTTGGAAAGGATTCCTACTGATTTGGAAATTTTCTTGGCTATGTGATGGGTGTGGGACTGAAATTTAAGATTACAGTCAAGGAGAAGACCTAGAAATTTGCCCTCCGTGTGTCTTGATATGATATGGGGGAACGAGACATGTTTATGTCCTTTGAATTTGTATCGATAAAGCCACTGGATGGTGAAATGTCTACAATAAAGATACCCAGATGTTGCACATGTCTAATTCTTCCTCTTGTTGGTAATGTATACCATTCATTTCCAACCTTTCTCAGACATATATCTGTCCAACCTATTTAAAGTTACTCAAAGTTTTAGTTTCAATGATCAAAGGGTGATGGGAGGGATGGGGAAGGGGAAATAAGGCAGTCAGAGGAGGGAAGACTGATAGAGAGGCAGAAGGGTAGAGAGGTGGGAAGGAAGAAAGAAAGAGAGGCAGAAAGGGAGGAAGGCAGAAAGGCTTCTTCATTTGAGTACAGAAGAGTTAACAGAAGCAGTAGAGATGTGAAGATGATGTAATCAATCCATCACCCTTGAAGGTGTAGTTTAGAGGAAGTCAGTCCCTCAGTCTGAAGAAGAGTTTTGCTCCACAGTCTGGAACAATGTGAAGTTGAAGCAACAGTAAGGAGACTTCTTCTACTAGTAAACTGCACTTCACCTTTCAACTGTAAGTCTCCGTACTGTTGCTTCAACTTCACACTGTCCCAGACTGTGAAGCAAAACTCTTCTTCAGGATGAGGGACTGACTACCTCTAAATTGCATCTTCAAGGGTGATGGACTGATTACATTGTCTACATATCTCTACTGCTTCTGCTAGCTCTTCTGTTCTCGAGTGAAGAAGCCTGCTGTGTAGGCAAAACGTTATGGAATAATATACTTAACTGTTGCACATATGTCTTACTTAACACCCTGTCGGTTTTGTCTTTCAGCAGAAAGTGAGAAGCAGAAAGACAGAAAGGGAGAGAGGCAGAAAAGAGTACAGAAAGGGAGAGAGGCAGAGAGGGAGGGAGACAGGTAGGCAGAAAGAAAGGCAAGAAGGGAGGCAAGCCCTGTCTTACCCTGATCTGCTTTAAATATAGTTAAGAAAAATATGAGTGAGAGGGATTGGATTTGAATAAGATTTGCCTAGCATGGACCAGAAGGCCTACTGAAGTGCCTCTCTAGTCTTGTGTCATATAATGGTTGGGTATGAGTAAGACATGCCTAACATGGGAAGGAAGGACTACAGCAGTGCTCCTCTAGTCTTATGTCATGTAATGGGTGGGTATGAGTAAGACCTACCTAGCATGGGTCAGTAGGTCTACTGCAGTGATCTTTTATTTTTTTTAATCAACTGTTACATTTTGGCTAAAATATATTTTGAATTAGACCTTTTTGACCTCTTTTAAAGTCCCTCAAGCACTAGGACAGAATTACCCATGAGATATATAAAAAATTAAGGATATATTGGCAAAATATCAGGGGATGACTTATACTGTACATAATCAGTACAGCAGACAGATTTTTGTTATTTTGGTGCCATTACACTTGCAAAAAATATTCTTTCATACATGATTTAAAAAAAAAAATGGATAGAAAAGGGGCTTTAAATTTTAGGTGTGCCAAAAGCTTAAGGGTTAAGTGTACAAGTATTTATGTGCACATTCACACAATGAAATTTTTATTCTTTAACAATAATAAATACCCTGTTTCACATTTTACCTGATAAAGAAAGTGAATCTGATTCTTCGCCACAGCCACTTTCTCTGAATCCCCCAACAAACGAGGAAGATGCAGCAGGAGTGGCTGGAGTTCCAGGAATGTCCTCTAAAGATCCAGCTCGAGACATATCCGTGGAGAGAAGGTCTTCCTCTGAGCTCACTCTTACAAGAGTTGGCAACTGCAACTCTAATCGCATGCGAGTATCACGAAGATTTTCCAACTTTTCCTCTAGATCGTGCTCACAAGGATCAGACAGAGTAGATCTCACTGAAGAAGTTGAGGTTCGTGGTAATGTTGAAACTGTTCCTTCATTTTGGGAAGTTCCACTACGATGAATCTGAGGCTGCAAAAAATATAATAAATGCTGAATACTGTAGCAAACTTAAAAATATACAAAATCATACAGTCATATATATTTAAGTCATGTTGAGTCAAAAGCATTTAGGAGATAAAGAAATCTTATTTATCTATAGCTATTCTGTTCTTGAATTTACTAATTATTTTGAGAGTTAAGGCCAGCAACTGATGAAATGGTTTCCATTCATACAGCTGAAACCTTCAGACAAAACAAATGACCAATTCAAAGTCTGAAGGTGAAAGGTCACAGTTAAACCACTACTCCTACTCTTCAATGTTCAACAATTTATTTTTTACACTGGAAGATGTGTGATATGAAATGACTTCTAACAGTGTATAATGTATATTTATAGTCAACAAATTGAAAAATATTCACACCTAGTGTTTGAACTATTTACTGCAAGCACATTATAGTATTACATTATATTATTTTTAGGTAGTAGGTTGATTAGACAGCAACCACTCAGGGAAGTATTACTGTCTTACCAAATGAGTGTAAGACAGAAACCGGTATTTGTTTTACATGATTGCAGTAGTGCTTTTCTCTGTCTCATAAACATGTAAGATAACAGATATATCTTGCTACTTTTGCTTACAATTAGGTCACAGTACACATATATGTACACATTTATGTATACACACTCATCCGAGTTTTCTTCGGTTTTTCTCAATAGTACTTGTTCTTATTTTCCTTTCATATCCAAGAGGAAGTGGAATAAAAAATTTTCCTCTGTAAACCATATATGTTGTAAAAGTCAACTAAAATGCCAGGAGCAATAGGCTAATAACCCCTTGTCCCATACAGCTTACTAAAAATAAAAATAAAGATATTATCATTATTATCATATTATTACATTCATAAGCAGCTTTTAACCCACAAAGGTCATACAGTGCCTGGGGGAAAGGGAGGCATTCAGGTTAGATTCAAGGACAGAGACATCAGGTTCAATTCCTTTGAGCAAGAGCTGTTCACCAGCATCAAGGAACCTCCAGCACTGTGAGGGAAAAGTTCAATAGATAGGAGTAGATATAGTAACGATAGTTTCATTACCGGCTACTAGTTAAGGTAGGGTAAGTCAAGCTCCCGCCTTTTCTCCCCCACCCCTAAAGTGATAGTTTGATTGCCGGCTGCTTGTTAACGTAGGGTCAGTCTAGCTCCCGCTATCCCTTCCCCTCCCTTTTCCACCCCCCCCCCCGAAAGGTGACGTGTGGGGCTCTGGTCAAACAGTAAATCACTCGACTCACAGCTCCCAACACTACTGTAAGTACATGCCTGCCTTGTATTCTAGTGGATTTATTGGTTAAAAGCTTCACTTTTTACCGGTAATAAACTTAGTCCTTTCAGTCTTGCTCTAGGTTGACTGTTGTAATAATCACCACATCTTTTGAGTAATGTACACTGCCATGGAGAGTGATTATTTAAGCAGTGGGTAACCTGTCTATCTTTTCAGCTTGGATGACAGTGAGGGTCACCTGTCAATCAACGAGCAGAACAGGAGAAGGACTAACGTCCTGGAGACGTCCCCATTTTGTATTGAACTACCTGTGCACCTGTATGAAATTGCAGGACGTAACCCCACATCATTGCAGCGGTAAAGAACCTGCTTTCCTGTCATCGGGATAATAATCACGGCGATTCTCTGTGAAGAACTAGCCAGTGGTGGTCACAAACACCTGCGACCCCCCCCCCCCATCATCAGCAACGGCTACGATTTCAACAACAGTGTCACCAACACCAGACACCCCTATTAGCGTTGAATTCAGTTATCATTTATATTTTTCATTTTTTATTTTCTTTAATGTAGGATTAATATTTCATATTTAAGTGTTTTATATTTTATATTTTCTATATAATAAAGTGTTTATGTTTGTCTGTTATTATTTCTTTTTCTATTCACTAATTTTCCTGAGGAGGGGCCAGCCTGGGTAATACAGTCTGAAGTTGTTACAGGGCTGAGTAAGCCTTCACAAGTGGCGACCTTGCCAGGATACAACTCTACTGAATTAAGATTCAACTCCATCTCGAATCTACCATTGGAACTTCAACGCCGAATACCACAGACGGTTACCACCAGCCATGAGTAATCATTCTCTATGGTAGGACTACGGTACAGGTATTTAAAAGATTTGGTGATTGTTATAGTCTCAATTTATTGTAAGTCAAGTCAGACAGGATATAATATTTAATTCTGCCACCTAATTTCATGTAAGCTTGAAACACTTTGGAGGATTAGACTCTAGGGACCCGAGATTTTCCAGTGACAACTTATTTCATTGAGCTCTTTATTATATCAAGGGAACTGTCATAGGACACTCTTGATTTGTTAGTGAGAAGATTGGATGGTCAAGGGACCCCATTCTACTTACTGTTTGCTCGGAGCCGGCATAGAACCCTTCGTTTTCGTTAATACATATTGTTTAATTGAAGCAGGGATCGAGCCCTCTGGTTTATTTACAGTTTGAGCGGAGCAGGAATTGAACCCTCCGTTTTCTTTAATACCCGTTTCATTTCCCCTGATAGTTTAAGTTATTCTTGCAAGCATGGAGGAATACCAGTTTTGGATGAACACTGGAAGTAAGTTAGGAATAACAGGGAAAAATTTAGAATCTTTCATTAGTGCTAAGATCCAGGAAAGACTTGAAAGAGAGAGAATTGAGAGAGAAGAGAGACAGTTAGAAAGGGAAAGAGAAGAAGAAAAGGAGAGAGAAAGAATCGAAAGAGAAGAGAAAAAGGAGAAAGAGAACCTTGAAAGACAGGAGAAAAAGGAGAGAGAGAGAACTGAGAGAGAAATCCAAGAAAGACAGTTAGAAAGAGAGCGAGAAGACCAAAAAGAGCGTGATAGACTTGATCGTGAGGAAAGAGCTAGGGAACGTGAGGAACAAGCTAAGATACATGAGGAACAGGCTAAGATATGTGAGGAACAGGTTAAATTAAGAGAACTTGAGGAAAGAGCAAAGGATAGAGAAGTTGAGGAAAAAGCTAGAGAACATGAGGAAAGAGCTAGAGAGCATGAGTTAATAGAGAGAGAAAAGGATCGCGAGCTCGAAAAATCTCGCCTTGAATTGGAGAATAAAAAGTTAACTCTTACACAACAACAATTAGAGGAAGGAGTAATGGACCAACGTGCAGTCAGTGCACATATTCCAACACCTAATTTACCTCCCTTCACAGAGGGGGAAGACATAACTTCATACATTATCAGGTTTGAAAATACCGCTACCCTCTGTGAATGGCCTGCTGACACCTGGGCTACCAGGTTAGGAATGTTATTTTCTGGTACAGCCTTGAATATCTATGCAACTTTGTCACAGGATATCATATGTAATTATAACCTACTAAAGAAGGCAATCCTTAAAGCATATCAAAAACCACTAATTCTTACAGGAAAGATTTCAGGTATGCCACCTTACAGCCTGGCCAGAACTTTCAACAGTTACAGGTAACACTCTTTCGTTTGTTCGACTTTTGGATAGAGAGTTCAGGAATTGATCACAGTTATGAATCTCTTCGAGACTTCATGGTTGCTGACCAGTTCCTGACAGCTCTTCCTCACCAGATACGAACATTCATCAGAGAACGCAACCTGATTAAAGCTGAGGAAGTTGCTGAGGCTGCTGACCTGTATGCTGAGGCTCACAATTCCTATAAAGACCTAAAGGGATCGAACCCTAAGGGCAAGGGTTCATCAGACCTGAAGAAATCAAAGCCTCTAGTGGAAAGTAAAATAACTTCTTTTATTCCTGTTTGTCATTTGTGTGGTGTTAAGGGACATAAACGTTCAGATTGTCCTTCTAAGAAGGTCCAAAAAGTTGGAAGATGTTTTAAAGACTGTAATGACCAAGCACCCTTCTGTTCAGGAAAAGTTAATGGACTTAATGTATCTACCATTTTACGAGACACTGGATGCACATGTATAGTCATTTCTGATAAGCTGTTCCCTAACCTTAAAGAAACTCATTCCTCTGCTATACTTTCAGACTACTTGGGCCGTACGGGCACTTTTCCTACCATCTGTTGTTACATTAGGTCTAAATGGTTCACAGGTTGGTCTGAAGCCGTACTAGCTCCCATCACTTCTTGCTCCGTACTAATAGGTAATGTAAAAGGTGCCATTCTTCCTTCTGAGGTTGACCTTTCATCACCAAAGATGGATATAAGTGTTTCAGATCCTCTTCCTGTAGAGTCGGAGAAGCCCCTCGAAAGTTCAGATGAGACAATGTCTCGTGAGATTCATGTGGGATTAAAAACCAGTGATGCTACTCTCGAAAGCGAGGTAGTAGGATCACCGGTTCACTTGTTAGATGAAAGTGAAGATATCACCTCCGATACCATAAATGTCTTGACTAGGGCTCAGACCAAAGCCCATGCTTCCCCTACTGTCCATCCTTTGATTTTCCCTGACTTTAAGCCTTTAGACATATCGAAGGACTCCTTTGTCAATTTACAACGTAATTGTCCTTCTCTTCAGAATTGCCATAATGCCGCTAAACAAAATCAAGTGATCCAAAGGAAAAACTTTTCATATAAATTTGAATATATAAAAGGTATCTTGTACAAGTCAGTATTCAAATTAAATTCAGATGAGACAGACTATTCCATCTTAGTTGTTCCAAGTCAATGCAGAGAGACTGTTCTTAAAATGGCTCATGACCTGCCAGTGGCCGGACATTTCTCGCATCGTAAAACTTTAAATAAAATTAGGGAAACCTATTTTTGGCCTAAAATGTCCTCAGATGTTACTACTTATTGTAGATCGTGTAAAGTTTGCCAACTGTCATCCTCCCGAGGTACCAGGCGAGTACCTATTGTCAAAATGCCTATCTTTACGGTACCGTTTGAAAGAGTAGCTATTGACATCGTTGGTCCTTTATCTCCACTTTCATCTGGGGGACATAGATATATATTAACATTAGTTGATTATGCTTCGAGTTTCCCTGAAGCCGTTCCCTTAAAGACCATAACTACTACAGAGGTGGCTGAAGCCC